TGTTTCCTGCACTGCTAGCCAAGAAACACTGGTCCATTCCCCAGACAATCATCCTGGGCAGGGGCACGGTCATTCACATACATTTCATTTGATTGTATCTGCCTTTACAGCAAGTACATAAACGTGAGACTTTCCATTGCTTATGGGAGGGAAACTTGAAGCTGTTGGGAAGCAATGAGAGTTTTTCTGGCCAAATAGCTCTAGAACAATACATTTCATGCCCCTAATTTTTAACAAGCCCCATACAGCAGAGACAAGAATCAATTACTACTGAATGTGTGTTTATTTGATGGATGAAATGAGCTGACAGAATCCCCTTGGCAAATTGCAGCAAAAGGCTTTTCAAGCCATCCACTTCATCTCACAGGTAGGGGCTGATGCCTGGGAAGGGCAGACGCGAAGGACAGTGTGTACAGAGAGAGCCCATGCTGTGACTACCCTGCAGATACACAGCTTTAATTTCAGGAGCCTGAACTCCCAAACCACAGCCAACGCTCCTGCAAGCCTCTGCTCTGCAGACCTGCAATGCCCAGTCATCTCTGCAGGTGCGGTCCAAAATGTTTAGGGCTCCCTGTGCATGAGTGCAAATTTTTTCCTGAGAAATACTGAGCATCTGGAAGATACAGAGGATATTTTCCCTCCTTTCTCTGTATAGACCATGGAAGAGTCTTCTGTGACCACAGCTGATATATTAAAATCCATTTGTCCGGAGAAGAGCCAGTATGCGATTCTTTTGCAGGACTCCAATCCAGGTTGTGTATGGTACCTTGTAACAACATGCCCTGACATATCTTAAAATGGAAGGAAACAAGGGATAGCATAGAAAATCTCAAGTCCATTCAGATGTGGAGTGCTCTGCATTGTGCAGCATCAGGTGGACCTCCAGAATGCAGCACCCTGCACAGATCCCATCCATCAGTCCCATCACTGACGCTTTGGTCTTTAGAGCTCTTGCAGGATTTTATTAGAAGAAACTACCTCTGTTCCTCATCCTGAGTGCCGAATGAAAGGGTGGTTACATGCGAATGTGCTGCTTCACTTGAAGATAGAGACAAGGACACACAGGTGGTGTGATCACCAGTGCCAAGCAGGGACTGCCTCTGATACAATTAGCCAGCAAAGTTTACCCTGTGCCAAGGGATATGACATGGGCTGGACAGCCACGTTGTGCATGCAGCACAGCACAGCCCTGTGCCTTCGCAGGGTAACTGCTACGTGGACCAGTAACTGCTGGATGTACCGTGGTCTTCCACTTAGGGTCGTTACAGTAACAAACAGCCATACTGATTTCTTCAGACCCAAATTTTTTGTCTCATACTTCCTCCCCCACATGCATCCCCATCCATCTTCCGGACAGAGAGTTATTATAAGATGTTTCAGCCCAAGAAGCACATTATTTTCTCTAAAATACTTTTCTCTGAAAATCATGCGCAAACGGCAGCGCAGCTTCGGAGCGCAAGATCCCCTGAGGGGAAAGGACGAGCTTGTGGTTAAACCATGGGATGGAGAGTCAGCAGATCAGGCTTTTTCATCCCCCGGCTCTGTGAGCTTTGACTCATCCCATGGCCCCTGCGTGGTTCGTGCATGTTTGGTTTCCCCATCTGGAAAACCGGTGCGATGACACACTGCGACAGCAGCACGCAGCCATTTATAGCTGCTGGGAACCACCATGTGCTCCTGCAAAGACACACTCTCTCACTGCAAAAATCAAGACTTCAGGATGCAGAATGCTCCTCTGCAAAGTTTTCTGATAGTGTGGTTCACCACAGCTCCAAAGACCTACTTAGATATTTAAATATTTACCCAGCATTTAAATATTTACCCAATATTGAAAGTGTCAGTCAGTGCTCAATGCCCAGTCCCCTGGTGATGCACAGCCACGTGGGCGGCCGTGCCTGGGGGAGCTGTGCTGCGGGACCAGGCTGCCAGCGGCTGCAGTGACCTTGCTGCCTCCCTAGCTGCCCCGAGGTGGGGGAGGGGCATGGGTGGCCTAGAAGGCCCTAAGGGACCCTTTCTTTTTCCCCAATCCATTCCTCTCTGCCCTTCAGCACCCACTGTCTCCCTCAGGCCTGCCTGCAGCTCAGCCCCAGGGCAGAGCTTCTGTTGCTTCCCCCCCAGTCCAGCACCGAAGATCTTTGTTCCCACACCACCTTGCTGGAGCATCCCTGAGATCCTCCTTGGCTTTAGCTAGGAGGGCTTTATGAAACACTGCCCTGGCGAGAGGATGGTACGGTCTTACCTCCTGCAGGCTCCTGTGTTTCAGGATGGGAACCCTGTGACAAGCCTCCTGGAGAGGAGGTGCTCAGGGCTACCAAGTCACACTGTGCTCTGAGCTGGCAAAGCCGCTAGTCATACAGGATGTCCCATGCCCTCCTCTGAAGCCCCACCAGGTACAGTGGTCGCTGCAAAGGCTTGTGACTTTTGGTGGATCCCCGAAAATAATCTAATGCCCTTATACTGGGAAAGTAAATCAAGTCACGTTCCTCAAGGGATCTTGTACCTGGCTGTCTGGTCTGCTTTTTCAGCTCGTACCATCTCCTGCTTCAGCACCTTCCTTCTCTTTGGATCTCTCCTGCTGTCATTGTCCCCTCTGCAAAGACTACTACCACCACTAGGGGCCACCAGCTTCATGCACTGGAGAAAGCCCTTTGTGAATTTGGCTACCTCCAGGCCCTTCTCCGCTTGCTCTGCCCTGTCCGTTTGCCCTGAAACTCTCCACAACACGAGGGGCTGCCTCTTTTTGTAGTATTTGGGCAAAACCTTACAACAGCATAAGCACTGCTTTCAAATCAGCCCCTTAGATGCTATATTAGGAAGAACGATAGTCACATCTCCTCACCAATACATCTTTAGGCTCTTTACAGAGAAGAGGGTCTTTGCCTCCCTTTTGCATGTGTGGACATTGAACTTACGCACGTGACTTATCCAAGGTCTCCAGGCACAGAATCAACAGCAGAGCTGGAAGATCTCCTAAGTCCTACCCCAGTGAAGTTGGCTAAGAACAGGACATACAAAGAGATGAAGGTTACATGTATGTTGCAAAAGGTATAGGAGATAGAAGAGAAAGGTTGAATCCAGGATGCAAGGCAGCACGACGTTCAAATCTCACCCCCCTCCCACGTGTTGCTTCCAGTATCTGCCAGCCCATCCCAATGCACACCCCCACCATGGTGGTGGAGTGTTCAGTACATATTTGCTGTGCCCTTGAAAGAGCAGAGCTCTGCAAAAGTGGATTTTTTTTCCAATTGTTTGCACTGGAGAAGGCGGATGACAAGCTTAAAATCCACCAGGGCTCATGTACCTGCACCAAGGAGATAAAATCCACAGAAGTCTCCTGTAATGATCAACTTAGACTGAAAGAATAAACATCCCAAATTGAAGCATAGCACAAAACTGTCCCAGCACAATAGCTGCTCCTCAATGCATGCTGTCCATTTTCCACCAGGTCCCATGGTACAACATTCCAGGGGAGAGTCCACACAGCTGCAGCAAAACCGTTTGTTGTCCCGTTTCATGTGCTTGAGACTGTGACCCCATGACTCAATGTCTTTTGAGAGATGGAACAGCACAGTGGTCAGTGGGGCAACCGGAGAGATCAGGATTTGGTTATTCAGACTTTGCTGCAGGTTCAGGGCAACTCTAAATCTCTTCTGCTGTCATGGGATGGGGAGGAGTTAATGTTTGTCCCCTTCTCTCTTGCAGGTTCCAGTAGGTGTCCATTACTGCAGGTTAAATTTTGCTGGTATCTTGGCCTGCTGGTATCAGGAAAACCATGCTCTTCTCTTCACTCCTGGTGCGAAGGTGACTGATCTATGCAGAAAGTGTAGAGTGACTAAAATGAACTGAAATATTAAATTCTCATTGGGTTAAGAGCTGGGAAATGAAGGCTACTGCAGACAAAGAAGAGGCTCATTTAGGACATCTTCTTAGAGTTGACAAGACCACCATATATTAACATCTCTGAAAATAATGTAAAATACTTCACATTTTCAAGGTAGCCTGCAAAAAACACTCATGCTAGTCTGGGGAGAGCTACAGTAAATATTAAGCTTGCCTGAAAGCTAAGAAAACCAAAGCACAGAGAGGTTTTGGGCAGGGCTGTGTCCTGTCCTAAGCCTACAGCTCCTCAGTGCTGCAATAATTCACATAACCACAGCCTAGCATGTGGGTAGGGGTGCCAGCCTGTCCCTGGGTAGACGTGCCACCCTGGCATCCTTCAGCCTGGTGTGGACACAGGGACTGTTCCCCTGCTGAAGGCACGTCCTCGCCCCTTGCGAAAAAACCATCTGGCCCTCGAGCCCTTGCATCTTTCAACGCATGGACAATGCTTATGTGGTCCTTCTCGCACTAGGCACTTCAGGCTGTGCCATCTCCTTTGGTTTTCCAGTCCAGGAGCATTGTCTTGTGCCTGGATCACAATTCTGAAGACCAAAGACATGAAAATCTCTTTTCCTCTGCAAAATCATACTAGTATTCCCCGTTAGAAGAAATCCCTACCCAGTTAAGCAAGCAGTTGCTGTCTGCTGGGCTGATGCTGCCATCTCCTGCCCACCTGGTGCTTTGCGGCCGCAAACTTCAGTCCTTGGCCCAGGGACCTGCTCATGTGCAAGGTAAAGGAGATAAGAAAAATGCAGGAACGTAAGAATTTAGGAACGGCCTCATGGTCCCTCATCGGTCACTGTCGGTGGAGGTCCCCATGTGTGTCATGGAAGTTGTCCTCTTCAAGCCTTTGCATCGTGGCTGTGGATGCAAGTGAGGGGTGCTGAGCTCTGACAGATGGAGAAGGCATAGGCTCTGTGTGAGGAATCACATTCAAAAGATGAAGGGGGTAAATACGCAGTTAAAGCAATTGCTAAGTGGACTGTTATTAGACACAGCTTGAGCTGTTCACGGTTCTTCCTGAAAATGCAGGAAAATCAAATGTTTAATTCAGAGAGAACAGCAGGACTGCACAATTTCTCTCCTAACACCCATCCAATAAGGTGGGTTTTTTTTGGCAGGGACACAGAGTAATTGGTGTGACTGGCACTAAAGCTATGGCATCAGAGTGTGGCGTTGATCAGAAGGTAAGGATACAGAGCAGTTGTTTTCCAGCATTGCAGAAGACTTTTGTCTCTTTGTTCAGGTTCTGCCAGAACCGCTGCCTTGCAACCCTCTGATTACTTTTTCCCTTCCCCTAGCACCACTGGCAGAGTGGGATGCTTGGGGGCAGTTTTTCCAAACAGTGGGCTGTTAAAGGTTGTAAAAACTGTCAAAACAAACCCTTTCACACACCAAGCCCCGACAATGCCTTGCCATGGGTTCAGTTCAGCAAAGCTTCAGTGCCATTCCCTTCTTGGGATTATTTGTGTTGCAGGTCTTTCTATGCAGATGCTGTGACAGATCCCGGAAGGTGTTGTATGAGGATTCAGTGGCATTGCCAACCACCTGTGGCACAACCTCACTGGTTCTCAACCATAGGGCATGGCTTTAGGCAGGGTAAGGTGCAGCAGCAGCTCAGAGGGCAGCACATGAAACATAACTGGGCATTTCAGCTCTCAAAAATGTTGTGGCATCTTGTCTCTTCTGCACACATCTGTATAAGATGGGGCAGATCATTTCAGGTTTGTGCCTTGATTTTCCCTCCCTCTAGGCAGGGGGAAGTGTGCAGATCCCATGGAGGTGAGGACTGCACAGCATCCAGGTGTGATGTAGCCAGCAAGAGATGTGGTCAGCAGCCCTGACTTGTTGAATTTCAACAGTATTAAAATGTCAGGGTCTGCAGGAAAGGCAACTCTTATAAACTAAATCCACACAGATAGAGCATGAGCTTTAAAACTGTTCAACATGAACTCTACAAAAAACTTGATGTTCCTGGTGAACACGTTCAGCACGGAGAGACTTTACAAACCACAGCCACATGCGGTGGTGAATTAATTCCCCATTCCCCTCGCCGGGACGTGTCCCGAGCAGGTGATGTTACATAGCTGTCTCACCAAAGACGGGCTTGCAGTCCAGGTGTGTCTCTCCTGGTGAGGCTCTGAGGCAGCAGCTCTGGTGTGGAGGAGCAGGGTCATACCACTCTGCCTTGGCTAGGCAGCTGTAGTGGTGGACGTCTGTAACTCACTGGATTTTCAGTAGCAGCTGAAATGCTGACTTCTCTGCTCCTCTGAAATAGGGAAATGTCGCTAGACAAAGCCGCAGAGATTAAGCAACTTCCTGATGTTCATACAGAAAGACAACAGCAGAGGTGGGGATAAGCCTGCAGAAATCATGTCTACACCTTGATTCATGCAATCCTCCTCCCCCTGCCCCGCAGCAGAGGCAATTACACGGTCTGTCTAAATGGTACAGCAGCGACATTTTCTCTACAGCCTGGAGTTAATGTACTTCTGCTTGTAAAGTCAGCCAGCAAACACAGATCCTTGCTTAGCAGATCATTTCACTTTGCAACATCAAAGCTTTGTGCTGGGATAGAGCCCGCACCTTGGTTTTGGCTGAGCCCAGGGCGGGGACAGACCTCCTTTCCAGAGGTACCCCTTGAACAGCTGTGGTACCCAGCACATCCCTGATGGCAGGGGGGATTCCTGTGGCCTGGAAACTTATTGTCCCTTTCAGAAATCAGTGACATGTTTTTCTGCTGTGCCATATACATATACACATTTTAAACACATATAGAGAAAGAGTTGGATCACTGGCTCCAACTTTCCATTTGCTATAAATAAAATAAAAAAGAAACATACCTCCAGTCTGAGATGCTCTGTGCTTCTCTGAGCACAGCAACTTTTGCACTGGGTGGTGGGCTTTTCTTTGGTCTCAGGTGATAGTGGCAACTGGAAGTGACCCAAAATATGAGCTGGCTCTGAAGAGTGGCATGAGTCATGGCATGAACTACAGCTGGAGCAAACAGAGAGGAGGTGAAGAAGCTCACAAGCAGCAGAGGGGTCAGTGTGACTGTCAAGGCCATCAGCAGGGACATCCTCAAGGCAGCTCTGCAAAGGTGCACTGAAATAAAAACTCTGCCTTGCTCTGCTGTATAACAAACCAGTGCAAGGTTGACCTCTTTGAAGGTTTTGCTGCCCTTTGGGGCGAGGTTCAGCAAACCCATTGGGCTGTTTGCAGAGATGCAGCCAAGGGGAGGCTGGTTTAGGGTCCAGATGCAGCCAACTACTTGCCAGGGGCAATGCCTGTGTCTGAGCCCCCTGTGCACATACAGGGGTTGTGGATAGGACAGGACCTTGTCTTGTTGCATCTTATTTTTTTTAGGATTTTAAGCATCTTCTCTGTAAACAGCGTGCAAGTACTGCCTCAAGACAAGGTGAAAGGCCTCCACTGGAGCTGTCTTCTTTCCTTCCTCTCCTTGCAGGGTAGTGTGGAAGGACAGGATCGTGGGGATGGATTTTGCTGGAGGAAAATACCCTCAATTCCCACTAATCTGCTGGTTCTAAAGAACGCATCTGCCATGGGAGCATACCGAGTCCGTACCAGGAAGATGATTTCCCCAGTTTTTCCTCTACTATCTCCTCCATTCCCCAGTATTGCCAGGAGGGAAATATCCATCCTCATGTTGGGGCACTCTTCAAACTAGAAGAGGTAAGTGTGGAGCAGATTCCTCAGGATTATTCTAGCAAAGCTCTTTTTTTTGTAGGTAGAAACATTTTTTTTGTGTGCAGTTAGGCCTCTGGCAGAGAAGCCTCCAGAGTCCTGCTTCTTTAAGAAACAAAAATATTAAATCAAGAAATCCCATTTTCCCCCTCACCCTTTTTAATCTTCTTTCACTGGGTTTGAGCCAGGGAGTTGTTAGCTCCTGGTTCGGTACTGCAAGTTCAGAATTGCAATGTGCTCAATGGCAAAGTCATACAAAACCAGCTCACTCCTATATCAAACAGTTTGTGTTCTTATAGAATAATGTGCTGGGATAATATTTTAAAAGTGGATTAGTGGATCCTTCATTTGCATTTCCAACCCCCCCACCCCAGCACCTCTGAAGCTGTTCAAAACACTTCTTTTCTCATTTGATGGTATTTTAACCCTTAAGTAATGGCTCAGCTCCTCAGAAATATGAAGCCACCATCCAGAACATTCAGCAGTGTAAGGCAGAGAAATAGCCGAGGAGCTCTCTGATCCTGAGTTATTTCAATACCAGCAGTGTATCCCGGGGATGGAAAGTCCAGACTCAGATGCGGACTTCTCCCACGCATCCTCTTTCTGCACCTTCCTTCCCTGCAAAGCCCTGCTCTGATGGCCATCACCATAGGTACCCAGGGCTTTGTGCTTGCAGGTAGACAATGCCTTCAACCATGTGCTCCAGTGCAATCCACAGGAAAGGCCATCACCGCCATGAGGTAAACATGCTATTTCTCCAGAACTCAGTCTCCCACTCTTTCTCTGACTCTCCAAGCTCCCACCCCAACAGTGGACAAACCAAATGAGCCAGGGACACAAGTTGATTATGGTGGCTTAAGAAGTTGCTGCATGTCAGCTGAACAGGGGCAGCTGTTGATGGCTGTGTGCTTTTAGCCTGTCTCCTTTCTGGGCTTAACCACCTACTGGAAAGGCTCCTGCCAAGGCTCAGAGCTCTGCAGCCCAAGTCAGAGGGTGAAACTTTTGCAGCCACTACTTAGCTGCATGGCTGATGCTTTGCTTCATGCCTTCATGCAGCCCAGAGGACCCCATAGTACTGTCAGAGCTTTCTCGCTGTATGGTAAATCAGAGGACCTCTCAGCATCAAACATACCTTGTAAGTGTCCTGTGTCACCACAGCTACAGGAGCAGTAATTTTGACCAGGCTGCCTGGCCTCCCAAAATCTTGAATAAATTTACACAGCACTCAGAATCTGACATCACAACATTTCCCTGTGGTAGTCTCACATATATAGTCCAGGCGTAAGCTGACTTTTTACACAGCTTGTCCAACTTCATCAGTAGACTATTGACCACATTTCCCTTATTGACAACAGCCTAATATCCTGTGTTGACTGTGGTTATTGGTTATAGCAACAGAGGAAAGTAACTCCTAACTTATTTTTATACTTTGAGCTGTACAAAGAGCAACTGAGGCTAATTGGGGTGCCACCGATCCCCATTTGGGAGCCACTGCTGTAGGACATTAGAGCAGTTCCCACCAGGCGTCTAATTAGCAGCTTGACAGAAAGGTCTGATCTAAAATGAGGACCAAAATGAGAAAGACATGGGTGGAGGGGTAAAGGTTTGCATATATATTTTGAACAACGAACGAAGTCACTGGTCCATCCTTCCTCCAGCAGTGACCAGCAAGAAAGGGAGGCTGCTCTACCTCCTTCCCTCCATGTTGCCCACCCATGTCCCCAGGCATTTCTGCCTGGGGAGAAGGAACGTGCTCTTGACCCTTCATCAGTCCAGCTTGGTTCCAAGAGGGGTGATTACAGATATCATTACCTTCATAAGCATCACTGCAAACAAAAGGAACCTGAAACTCTGATAACAAGCTGGCTATACTCTTTGAAGCTTAACAAAAGATATTTGAACTACAACGGACTGTGGAGACACAATAGTCAAATCATTTCATCTGACAATACTTAAATTTGTCTGTGCTGTGCCCTGCTGTTCCAGCATTGCTTAGACTCTGGCTACACAAGTTGCTTCAGCGTTGCCTCCGATTACAAAGTGCTTCCTCTGCTGCAATAACCCCCTTGGCTTTCTCAGCATGCCTTTATTATGGCAACAACTCCAGTCCTGCTTTGCAGTGCCTTAGACCCTGGAGGAAGTTATTTAACTCTCATCCATCCTTTAAAAGCTTTCCAAATTCATCACGTTATGCACAGCTTCTCATTGCAGAAGAAAAGAAGTGGTTTTTTAGCTTATTTCACTGGTAATAGCAGAAAATGGCCTATTGCAGCAAAGACTTTGTCCAAATAAGCTGTGAGCCATAGCTGTCCTGCAGATAACATCCAGCTCATTTTAGTGTCCTAGAAGCACTCTACAAGTACCCACTATTGAAGCACCATTATGCTTTAGGTAAATGTGCTGCTTAAAGATAGCAGTCAGCATCGACCACTGAACAATGGTTCCATTTTATATGTTCAAGCTGTCCCCTAAGTTATTGACAACACCTAAAGTTAGTAGCCTGATAGTAGAATAGCAGGACCATCACCCTTGCACCCACTGAGCTTGTAGCAGTGTTTAAGGACTTTAGTATATATCACCTAGGTTACTGCATTTATTAGTCTTCAGTCATCATCCTTCCATTAGTTTGCTTTGTTGAAATAGTATCTTTGGTGTCTTCAGGTCACACCATGGGAGGTTCCATGCTTTAGTTATACACTACACATACAGAAAACCTAAACAAACCGATTTCAAGTCTACCTGCCCCTCTGCACCCACATCTGGGTTGTGGGAGGTACCCTTGGGCCTTGTTTCCCATGTGACCTCCTGCAGCCTAGTCCTGGCACCCTACAATGAAGCTTCCAGGTGCTGTGAGAAGGTTGTGCATCCCACCCAGCCTTCAGTCAGCTGAGCTGAGCTTATGGGTGTCAATAGGCTGGTCAGGTGCAATGGTAGGTATGTGCTATCACTTGCTGAGTAATTTGTTATTGCCTTCTCCTGAATAGATGCTTGTCAGCCTCATGCTGGGTTAGCTGAACAATTTGGGAAAGGAGCATGCTGTTAGCCAGGGTGTAACACATCCCTGCTAGGTAGAGTTAAGTGAGGGGGAAAAAACTGTGACTACCCACAGGGTGTTACCTTTCTCAGGAACCGTGAAGGATTTCTTCAGCTCTTCAAAATGTCTGGAGTTTTAGTACTTACAATCAGCAAAAATTGGAGTGGAATATCAACGGAGCACAGCTTTCAAAAACTCATTTTCTTTTTCCTTTCAAGCTGACAATAGGATTTTAAGAAAAACTTTGAATAATGGATACACTTTTGAATAATGGATGTTTCACAGCCGAAGTCCCCTGACTTTTCTCTCTGTGCCTGAATGAGAAGCCTTTTAATTGCACAACACGTGGAGAGGAGGTACAAAACGCTTTGTGTCTTGTGCTGCTGATTAACTGATGTGTACGCTCCCATTAAACATTCAGAGATGGGTAAGTGTATCCCAGCCTGAAGCTGTATGTTATGCACGTTGGTTTTTTATCAGCTAAGGATCTGGCACGAAATGTTTTGCATTTTCCCTTGTCTCTGTCATGGCTGCTCATAATTTTCCTTTTTTTTTTTTTTTTTTTGTGGGCTTGATTTTTTCCTGCTTCTAGGGAGACATTCTTCCACATGAAGAGCTTGCACCTTATGTTCTGGGTTCATGCAATGTGGTGTGAGGTCACCTTGTGAAGCGAAGAAGCCTCCTGAGCTTAGACAATGGAACAAAGTTTTAAATAAGGTTTTCCGAAATAGCAGTGCTCATTGCAGTGATTTTGCTGAGAGATGATCACACATGGTGAAAGAGTTGTCCTGTTGTCTGTGCCAGACTGGATGGTGTGCCATGGTGTGATAGTGAATCTTGAACACATGGAGCAATTTGAGCCCCCTGCAAATTATCTGTGGGATTCAGGGATGGGAATTAGTAAGAATCAGTGGTACAGGTCTTGCTCTTATTCTAGCATGCTATTGTCTGTCCCTGAAGCTGGCTCTTCTCCAAGTTAATTCAGCTGTCATGAAAGTTTAACTCTGCTGCAGAAGGGAAAAGAAAAGTCACTGTGCCCCTGAAAAATGTAAAGGGGGGGTTGGGGTCAATGGTGGTTTTTTTGTGCTCTATCTTTGCCCTCAGTTTCCCCAGTTCCCGGTACAGTGCCCAGCACTTTGAGTGTACCCAGATGGACTCAGCTGAGCGAAACCCTGCTGTGTTAGTACTTCTATAACAAAACCCACTTAAAACAAGAAGCTATGATCCTATCAGCTCCCCAGTTTTCTTTCCAAGCACAAATCCAGCTCAGGGACTGAGCCTCAATGTATAAACGCTGCTGGAGCCTGGCTCTGTCCTGCTCCCAGCTGTCTGCATCCTGGCTGTGGGGACTGGAGGCTCAGCTTATACAGAGAAATCCTGTGAGTTTGGACTATTTTAACTCTTGACATTAGACCACAGAGGACCTATGGAGGTAGCTATGGGGTGGCACAGAGGGTCCCCTGGGCTCCCTGGTATCAGGCTTTTTTCTTCCACTTAGAGGTTCTTGGTGATCCTTGCCCCTGCACACCATGGGAGGCTGACAGCCAGGTTTCTGGCTTCAAACAGACTTCGTTCTCTCTCAATTTTGCAGCTTCTTGCCTTAGAGGACAACTGCAATTTAGTTTTTATTTCACAAAATTTGACATGACTTGAGACTGTGATTTACCGGCCTTGAAGGGTATGGTGTATGTAGCTGTGGAGGGCATAAGTAGCTTTTCATAGTAGAGGAGTCATAAACTGAGATGAAAAAAAATGAGGGAAACATTGCGGTACAACTTTACAAGGTAGCACTAAGAACAGGACACAGCGAAGCCATCTGTAACTGTCAAGGGTCTTTATTGTCCCTGATTGTGTGTAATAAAGCTCCTGAATGAGACCTGTGGTCTCAAATACCGAGGCAACCAACATTCAAGTGTCTGAAAAGACACAAGATGGCAATCTTTTCAAAACGACACCCTGGAATATCATGGGGCTAAAGATTTCCAAGCTATCAGCTTTCCTTGCTCTAGCACTTGCTGGAGACCCTAGGAAAGGGTCTGTGTCCAGCTTGCTTCCTCCGTGGCCACCAGTAAAGGAGCCTGAAGGTGTGTGGGGTGAGGTGGAAATCTCTGAGGGCATCAACACAAGCAGGGCATGTTCCAGTCCAGACAAGAGCTCAGCATCCCTCTGCTGCTCATTCATGTCACATACACTGTGAGGTGCAGCAGTTATAGCTGCTGCTGTTTCTTCTGAGGCTTGTTTTGACATCTGCATCCCCTTTTTTGCCTTCTGTCCCTTCCATATCTTCCAACAGACACAGATCCAGAGGGACATTTCATATAGCAAGGAGATTTTAGACAAGGAAGAATAACCTCCTCTTTGGTTTTTTTTTGCTTATTGCCAGAAGAATATCTTCAGAATTTGTCTCACTTAAAAATTCATTTTCCCTGGTTGAGCAGGGGTGGTGTGGGGCGGGTGGAAGAATTACCACTGCTTGGATTTCAGATTTTGCCTGGCAAATATTTCCAGGCCTCTTGGTTTTATATGTTAATTTTCAGCTTAAACATTGTAACGCATTGCAATGTGGCAAGGCGACAGGGGCGGTGTGACAGTTTCCAGGCTGCTTGTGCTCGTTTTATTTGCAAATGGTTGAATTTGCAATGTGTAATGATCTCTGTAAGGCAGTTAGCAGCGAGATAAACATCAATTTTATGGCTGGGAAAACATAAGGGGTGTTGCACAGAAAAACAAGAGGACCTGAATACTGAAAGCTCTCTGACCTCCTCAACACAGTTTGGTTTAGCTCTTGCATGTCTGTTGGCTGTTGTACATCCCAACCCCTTCCCATGGTGGGTCAAGCCAGGTGAGATGCTACAGAGCCTGCCCCTATGGGGATGCAGGAGCAGCACAGCCTTCCCTTTACGAGTAGGGGATGCAAGTAGCAAGGAGTCAGTATTCACAGCCAAGAGTTAAGAGGTTTTGCTGAAGTGGGAATGAAGTAAGGTGAAGACTTCAAAGATTTTGGGGCTTGCTTTGTAATAGGAGCTCATGCAGAAGGCTGGAGTTACCTTTCTGTTGCAGCCAGACTGGGGACATGTGCAGCACTCTGTATGATTTTCACAAATAATGCTTTTTGCAGCACTATTTCTTCATTGGATATGATATGGGATGTAAAGTGCTTTTTCTTAATTTGCTGTATGCTGAATGCATCTGGAATGCAATTAATATTCTTGACTAAGTCTGAAAAAATTAAAAGGCATTTCTGGAAGTTGCTAAATGTGACTGCGTATGTGCAGGGAGGTGGTGGAAGGAATGGCTCAGTCCCTCAAAGCTGGAAACAACCTGATGTGGGGAAGAAAGGTGGAAAACCGTCGGTGAAAACTGAAGCACACAGACTAGCTACAGAAAAATGTGAAGTGGTGCCATGCTGGCTAGATCAAATCCACACGATGGTGCTAATGCAGCTGCTGCAGGTGGGAGCAGACATGACCTCAGCTGCTTTCAGAGCCACCACCTTCCACTGTGATGCGTCCCTGGCCTGGGAAGGCCCCAAATGCCACCCCGAGATGGAGCAGGGTCTCTTACCAATCCTTCCTTGTAAGCCTGGAAGGAGTGCTCAAGCTAATTAGTTAATTAGCTGCCATTGATATTGATTGAGGATGAGGGCTCTCCCCATGCTGATGCAGGTGCTCAGCCTGTCTGGGAGCCTGAGCTCCTGAGTGGTTTTAGTTTTCTTGGTTTGTGTGTGACATGTAATACACTGTCAAATGTCTTGAATACTTGGAAGTGTGTTCAGGGCTGATGTTTTCACTCTAAAAAATATTTAAGATGAGTTTTCATGTTTTATATAGCTCATTTACTACCTGCATTTCTGCCACACAGATGCCATAAGAGATGAGCTGGTTTAAATTTTTTCTCTTGACTGTAGCCAGCCCTTTCAAACTCCCCTGCACTGTGACATGATGCTTAAGACATCTCCACAAAAAACTGCATGTATATATATATCACATTTCTAGAGGGCTAAAGCTCAGAGATGAACAAAACTTCCTATTGAAACCATTTAAAAAAAAAAATAAATCTCATCTTGGAACCAATTAGAAACAACATAAATCACCTAAAAATAGCTTCAGGTACTGAAGTCACCTGGATTTCTCAGGTTACAAAGACTTCTGATGAGGCTTGGCTAATTATTCTCGCTCGTTGGGTTTTGCATGGGGGGGATTGGGCTGACCATCCAGGGCTGGCTGTGAGTGTAGCCCCAAGTCGCTGCGCAAACATCTGGAGGGCATGAAAAAAGATGTTTTCCACCTAATCTTGTTACTGTGACAACAGCAGTGAAACGTTTTAAAGCAGAAAAATACGATTTTTTAAAAGAGATATTGCTGTCCCCTCAGCTCTGTCTGACAAATGCTATCTGTAGCATGTGCTGCCTGCTTCGCAATTGTCCTGTAAGCTCAATGGCAGTCCTCTGACATGGAGCTTGGATTTCGAAGAAAGCTATGAATCCTTTTAAAATAGAAATTTCTTGGCTAGAAGCAATGTAATTAAAGGGTTACCCTTTTCTTTCCCTCTTTCTAGCCCATCTGGTCCTTTTATCTCTGTTTCTTGTTCCTTCACTTTTCATTTCCCAGCTCCTTCCCCTGTCTCTCTCCTCTTCCAATGCACTTTTCTGCTTTTTCTTTTAAATTGATGTTCCCCAGCTGTCCGTTTTAAGCCACTTTTGCTCGAAGCTTGATGTTGCTGGTACTGTTCCTTGCGTCTCCTTCTCTAGCACAGACCAGCACAGTGTTCCCACTCATCTCAAACACAAGCATCACAAGTTGCAGCTGCTTTTATGCAAGTCAAGCTCCTGAGGCTTCCTCATGACCCAAATCCCCCAGGTTTGGCTGGCAAGAGCAGCCTGAGTAGCTGGGGCTGCTTTCAGCCTCTTCATGTGATGCTGGTTGAACCCTTGCAGGTTCCCAATATAAACTTGTGTGTTGCTAGAAAACAGCTTGGAAACATCCAGCAGTCACCTCTTGGCTAGAAACCTAAAATTATTAGCCAGCAGCCAAGTGGAAGTATGAAATATGTATTTATACATTGAAAAAGTGTGATGCTCATGGTCTCTACGGATTCTTTGTAGCTTTCCCAGGAGACATGACCTGTCCACAAAAGATCTTTTACTTTATTCAAAGCCTCCCAATGTTTTGAAGGGTAGTGGTGAAATGGATAGGAGATGCTTAATTTCGTTCTGCTGAAGCAGCTTGGCAGCACAAAGACAACACTTCCCTGGTTTGTGTCTCTTCTAGTCGGCTCTCAGTACAGCTGAGTGCTAAGGATATTTTTTTATTTGAAACCTCGAATTCTGCAGAGACTGAGTGCTTATTTCTTAGGATCACCAGGGAAAATTTCTTACTCTCCCAGTAGGGTGGAAATTTCAAGCTGTGAAGCTATAATATATGTAGTCTTCCAACATCATTAAAATAGGGTTTTTCCGACAGTGCTACTGTGATGCAGAGAATACGATCCTGCCTGAGAGTCCCAAATCGATTGGTATTGCGATGTCACGGTGGAGGTAATTTGGAGGTACTCATGCAAGGCCAGGGAAAGCTGGGACTGTGAGGGCGTGAAAAAAGGAGGAAAAAAAAAAAAAAAAAGGAAAAATAAAAGCTCTTTTTCTGCTGGTCATCTCATGTTCCTCCATGCTGCCCTCAGGCTGAAATCTGGCTGCTCACATTCAGCAAATGGAGGCTTCGGGGGTTAAGAATCCATGCGTGCTTTGCTTGTCGAAGGGGGAGAAGATGACATGTTGATCGGCTGCAGGGTGGAAGACGCTAGCTCATATATCTAGCTTTTACTGTGGTTTTCTATGATGCTGTTTGCTTTAATTTACTCTTTTTTTTTTTTTAAAAGAAAAAAAAAAAGTTTTTAAGATGCCTTGGGGTATTTGGGAGAGGATTTCCAGGCAGCAATCCCCAGTTGCTTATAGAGTGAGGCAGTTGTTGCACTATAAAACTTGGATGAGGCAGCGCTGGGGTGGACTCCAGCTCCGTTCTGCCCCGGGCAGTGGCCGGTGGGATGGATGTTATTTGCTTGAGCTGTGGCTGGGTCTGGATTAAACCAACCGCTCAGCCAGCAGGTTTTATTTATCATTATTTAGGAAATGTGAGGATGTATAGAGGAGGATACTTATCTTATGGCATTAAAAACCCCCTCCAAACCCACAGGAGAAATGCCTGGCTTTTTTGTAGGCTCGGAGGGCTGCCTTGGGTGACAGGAGGCACAGGTGATGGGGAAGGTGACCCTCAGGGATGCAAGCAGCAGTGCAAATGCCCCCTGGGAGCCGAGCAAGCAGCCCAGGCAGTCGGTCCGGGGCGGGGGAGCAGGAGCTGCCCTTTGCCCCCCGCGGCCGCCGGCAGCCCCACGTGCCGGGGGAT